TGCCACGGGACCGCCATGAGAACAGGTGCATTCCTGCTGTCCGATATGTTGGGTTTAGTCAGGGCAGCATCTCCTTCCTGTGAAGAAGTGAAGGATCCCAGGCCCACCGCTTGGTCAGTCACCACCTGAGCCGCGTTTTTTGTTTTTTTTATGCAGGAGCCAAAAGAAGAGGGGAACTGGCATGGTGGCCGCGTAGCCTACTCCTGGGACCGCGTAGCCTCGCGTAGCCTCCGTGTAGCCACTAGCAAAGGAAGCTGTCGATAATCGTCCGCGTAGCCTCTGCATAGATATTTTTGTTTTGAGCTAAAGGCTTAGCTTGAGAGCTTGTACGTCTCAAAGAAAAATGGTGCATTTGATTTCCCTTGGCCCGCCCAGAACTGAGTTCGTTCGTTCCGCGTAGCCTCAGCGTAGGCTGCGCGTAGCCTCCGCGTAGCCTCCAGGCGTATTCAAGGCCAATTGCCCACATGCCTACTACCACTGCTACTGCCACCACTACAACCACTACAACTACTACTTCTACTACTACAACAACAACTACTACTACTACCACTACTGCTACTGCTACCACAAATTACCACTACTACTACTACTACTACTACTACTACTACTCCTACTCCTACTACTACTACTACTACTACTACTACGACCACCACCACCACCACCACTACTACTACGACCGCTACTACTACTACTGCTACTACTACTACGACTTCCGTTTGCCAACGCACTTTCGCGTAGCCCCGGCGTAGCCCCCCGCGTAGCCACTTATCAACAAATATGTTCCGCGTAGCCTCCGCATAGCCAGATTCCTAGGGGGAAAGACAGCCGCGTAGCCTCCGCGTAGGTATGTGCTTCCAGTGTATAGGCCCAACACATTTCAAAACAAGACAAAAGCTTACCTGTTGCATCAGTCCCTCTGGCAAAGTCATTTCTATTGGAAATTCCTTCAACTATGGTTAGGACTGGAGACCCTTTTGGGCACGGTTGTAAAATTGCTTCCCCTGTTTGTGGACAAGACTTGTCACATCTTGCGGAATCATGATCACTCTGAGCGGATAAGGTGTCACTGCTTACGGAAATGAAAATGTCGCTGCTTACGGAAATGAAGCCACTACACGCGGAAAAGTATAGGGGTAGGAAGCTCCGTTCCTTTCTAAGGTTCCTTTCTAAGGCTCCTTTCTAAGGCTCCTTTCTAAGGCTCCTTTCGAAGGATCCTTTCTAAGGCTCCTTTCTAAGGTTCCTTTCTAAGGCTCCTTTCGAAGGGCTCCTTTCTAAGGCTCCTTTCTAAGGCTCCTTTCTAAGGCTCCTTTCGAAGGCTCCTTTCTAAGGCTCCTTTCGAAGGCTCCTTTCTAAGGCTTTCTAAGGCTCCTTTCTAAGGCTCCTTTCTAAGGCTCCTTTCTAAGGCTCCTTTCTAAGGCTCCTTTCTAAGGCTCCTTTCTAAGGCTCCTTTCTAAGGCTCCTTTCTAAGGCTCCTTTCTAAGGCTCCTTTCTAAGGCTCCTTTCTAAGGCTCCTTTCTAAGGCTCCTTTCTAAGGCTCCTTTCTAAGGCTCCTTTCTAAGGCTCCTTTCTAAGGCTCCTTTCTAAGACTCCTTTCTAAGGCTCCTTTCTAAGGCTCCTTTCTAAGGCTCCTTTCTAAGGCTCCTTTCTAAGGCTCCTTTCTTAAGGCTCCTTTCTAAGGCTCCTTTCTAAGGCTCCTTTCCTAAGGCTCCTTTCTCCCAGCTCTTTCTAAAACTCCTTTCTCAAACTCCTTTGAGCTCCTTTCTAAGGCTCCTTTCTAAGGCTCCTTTCCGAAGGATCCTTTCTAAGGCTCCTTTCTAAGGTTCCTTTCTAAGGCTCCTTTCGAAGGCTCCTTTCGAAGGCTCGAAAACCTTCATCACGGCCCCCTTTCAGGAGGGATTGGCCGGGGATCCTCTTTTCGAGCTGGAATGCCGGATTCCAGCTCGAAAAGCGGATCCCCAAGACAACCTTCACCGCGGCCCCCTTTCAGGAGGAATTGGCCGGGGATCCGCTGCCGGATTCCAGCTCGAAAAGCGGATCCCCAAGACAACCTTCATCACGGCCCCCTTTCAGGAGGGATTGGCCGGGGATCCGCTTTTCGAGCTGGAATGCCGGATTCCAGCTCGAAAAGCGGATCCCCAAGACAACCTTCATCACGGCCCCCTGTCAGGAGGGATTGGCCGGGGATCGCTTTTCGAGCTGGAATGCCGGAAGCGGATCCCCAAGACAACCTTCATCACGGCCCCCTTTTCAGGAGGGACTGGCCGGGGATCCGCTTTTCGAGCTGGAATGCCGGATTCCAGCTCGAAAAGCGGATCCCCAAGACAACCTTCATCACGGCCCCCTTTTCAGGAGGGATTGGCCGGGGATCCGCTTTTCGAGCTGGAATGCCGGATTCCAGCTCGAAAAGCGGATCCCCAAGACAACCTTCATCACGGCCCCCTTTCAGGAGGGGTCCGCTTTTTCCGCAGAGACTGTGCTTTGTTTTTCCGCACATTTGGTTGTTTTTTTCCGCTCTGCGGGGTTCGCACGTTTTCCGCGCGCAGCGCCGAGCCTCGTTTGTGGACTTAAGCTTCTGGAAAGACAAAAACACCAGGTGGACTTGTTGTGACCAGTCCACCAGAAAGTGGTAAACATATTTGGAGTGTGCCCGAAGCTCGTTTGCAATGACGCAGGCGGGCGCCGGGTGCCTTGCGCAGTGATCGCGCACCGGTCAGAACTTCGGAGTGGATGTGCAGTGAGGCTTAGGAATCCCTGTGACTGGATTCTTTCCCGAATGGGATTGTTCTGCACAAGTTGTAATCCAACTTGCTGGTCACCAAATCCCTTTTCAGGTCCCTCAAGTGCTCCCCATTCCTTTGTTTTCAGCGGCAAAAAAGTCATGACCTATGGACGAGCGGCGTCTTTGTACCCTCGAAATGGTTTGTGAATAGAGAGCCCAGCGAGGTCATTTGTGCCGAAGGCTCGGGCACTTTCGGCACTAGATGCCGAGAATGCGTGAACCCTCATGGATGGGGTCTCCAGTGGTTTAGACAAAAAACACCTGCAAAGGCCACTAAGAGTGGAGATGCCGTGTATCGTTAAGTTGCTCTATTTTTTGTCATTGTGAATCGCTGTCGAATTGTTGGACCGCTCGAATACATGGCCTTTTCCAGATTTGTAGATTTGGCCAAGCCTCTATATTGTGGCTCTGTTCATTTCGGCATCCCCTGGAGTTAGGCTCGTGTTTCAAGCTTAGTTGGAGATGTGGTTTTCCCATGATCCGAATCTTGCCTACGCCCCCAGGATACAACATGGGATGCTTAGCAGCCTGTGCCCCCTTGCGTGTTTGTTCCAGGCAAGCGGAATTGCAGGTACATTCCTCGAAGCATCTCGTGCATGTGTTTGGTTAGCATCTCATGTAGTATGATGTTGGGCAGTGCGATGTTACTCGTAGGTACCACCTCAGAAGAGAAAGTCGCGAGTTTGCCTCTTGACTTCAGCATGTAGTGTGTTGGTGAGTTGATTTCTTCGAAGCAACCAGAGCGTTAGTTGATGGTCATGGTGTTGTCCCACTTAGCCACTCCCATTCCGACGCGAGCTGTACCACGCCGAAGCACCAGACCCCTCCATAGCAAATCGTGTTGCACGTGACTCTCAACGCGCAGGTTGCCAATCAAGAGACGCACAAGATGAGGTGTGTTGTCAAGGTACGTGTTTAAATTCGGCGTGCTTCGCTGAGCATGGTGCAAACTCAACAGATGTTGCCGCGTGTCGAGCTGTTCGCGTGAAAGCAACGACAGAGTGCGCAAAAAGGTGCGCCGCTGTTCTGGCGGTCATTGCCACTCGCAGACACAGAGACACATGAAATACCTAGGCACGCAGGCACATACACATACGGAGACAGTCACACACACACAAACACAGCAACAGGCACAGACACCGTCACAGTCATGGACACGCACACACACAAAGATACACACCCAGACACACTGTTACCCGCGCAAAGGCACTTACAGTTAATTACATGCAATTGTGCAATTCCACAGACGCCAAAACGCGCGCGCACACACACACACACACACACGCACGGCACAGTTGCAGAGAGTTGCACTCAGTTATACACACACACATTGCCAGACTTAACTTATTTATTTTAACTGTTTGCTTCTTGGGTCGTCATTTCACCTTTCAACCAGGAACATGTTAACAGCGTTTTTGCGCATGGCCTGTACTTGGTAACGCTACGTTAAGCCAACATGTGCATGAGCGTCCCTTTTAACTTTTCCCTCTCGTCTTTCGCCACATCTTCTCGATGACATGCAGACGACAGCCTGCAAACTGGAACCACTTTTGGATCGTGAATCAGGCGCCAGGTTGGCGGTTGATGTCTACATGTTGAACACTGGGGTGAAGAGCGGTATGTGTTTTGTCTGAAGACTGGTGAACTCGCCAAAATGGGCTGTTCCGCGTTAACTTTTCTTTAGCCAGCCTCAAAACGTTGAGCAGAGCTCCAGAGGAAACTGAACCAACAATTGGTCCAAAGGCGAACTTCCTCAAATAGCGACACACCCATACGTTCAGGCCGGGGAAAGATGAACCATTAGGATGTGCCATACTCTAGCATCTCTTTCGATCGCTTCTGCAATTGGCTTGTCATGCCTTCCATCGCTATGGTGCTGGCAGTCCGATGTTCATCGCTGTCTTACTTGCAGCCCGTTTTTCGGATGGTGAACTGAGCATTGTTTGGAGGAAGTGTTGCGAGCATATTAGATGTCCATGGGATTGTATTGAAACCTACTTTGCAGTTGGTAGTTCAGTTTTGTTGAAGCCAATTTGGATTGAGGTGCCTGAGAAAATCCACGTAGTTCATGGTTGTTGTTGGGAAGCATTTTGCATTTTTGCTTATTGTGGTTTAGTGGGAAATCCCCACTGAACTGCTAAACATGTTTTTTTGCTTCCCGTCCAACGCCAACCAAGAGTTACCCCTTCAACGTTGAGGCAAGTATCCAACGGCAGTTCTCACTCGATTTGGGTGACACCATGCCGCATGGGCGGCAAAAGGCCTGTGCAGGAGGTGCGCTTGAGCGGCTGGGCGTGGGATGCGAAAAAAAGGACTCTCTTTCGACGATTACGGTTCACTTTTTATGGGCCATAATCTAAACATTATTTTTTAGTTGGACAACAGCTGAGGTAGACGTGGATATATCCCTTGACGTGTCAAACGTACACTCCCTCACGCCCTTTGGAATGGTGTCATTGCCCGGGTTTTGGAAGATTGCCAAGATCGTAGCAAGGCGTAGAGATCTTGCTGTGATGTCAGGTAGAGCAATACAGAACAGGGTGGCCCAATTGGGCGAAGATTGGGAAACTGTGCAGTTGTTTGACGAATCGGTTTGGTCAATCTGCGCCCGTCTAGTATGGGATGCGCTTGTTGTAAAGGTGAGCAGGTTCGAGCACGGCCTTTTTGTGGTATGTTACCTGCACCTTTCCCGAGTATCCTTACGAGGGAGTGACAAACTCATGCGCCGGGTGCCTGTGTAATAGCCAGCATACCCTCTTTCTTGGGTTGTTTAGGATGGGCCCCAAAGGCATTTTAGACACACCAATTAGGTCACTATGGGAATCGTGACCGTGGCCCACACGAGTCATGGACAATATTGCTGGCAGTCTAGTTACTGTTGGTTTGGGCAAGGGGGGGCACCGCCCACATTTCACACAAGCATTGGTCGCGCAATTTCCATTTTTTTCCTTTTGGGAACAAGGTTCCGTGCATGGATGAAGGTCTCTTGGGTGATTCCAGTTTTGCGGATTGTGAATTGTTATTTGCTGACCCTCTACTTCCCTTCTCAGTCCCCTTTCATGCCCGAGCCTTCAGGCTGACAACCGGCTCCGAAGCTCATGCCACACAAGTAGATTCCCATTTCCATTTGATTTCCGTTTCAAGATTTCCAGGTTGATTGTTTTGATTTCCCGGTGTGCGTCCGGCGCGCTCACGAGGAGTGCCAGCGCATCACCGCGCTGGGCCGCGGCTCCCAATGGCGGCCAGCGGCCTCAAGTGAAGCTGGCGCGGGAGGGCCGCCCATTGGGTGGCCTAGGGGGGGGGTTGGGTGGGTTTAAACAATCACTCTTTTTGTTTGAAGTGAGTTTGCTTTTGGTGGGGTGATGTTTACAAAGGGACTAATATGGGGCACGTGATTCCAGAAGTGATCGTAGTTTTTTTGACACAGCCCCCAAGTAGTGTCCGCCCACGGCTCTTTACGTGCTCCTGGATTTCATAATGAACCCAGTCTCCTCCAAATTGATTTTACATTTCAGGCTAGATCAATAGACCAAAAGCCGACCATATGCTTTGCGGTCCAAGCATCTCAGTTAAACCGATGATAACAAATCCTTTAAAGCACAGATTGTTGATCATTAGAAACAATAACAGTTTGACTTGGCGCACAGGAAGCCTTTGCAAGAGGACGGTCTTCCAAAGGGCCGAATGGAACAAACCGATTGTTTCTTCCGAGTTGCCACTGGGAAGCGGGACATTGAGCCCAAGCTTGAGCCAGTCCAGCCCCTCCCGCTTCCGTGATACGCTGCAACCTTCCCTTGAAGTTGATGGATTTTTGTTTGAAAAGGCTTTCCATTGGTATCACAAAAGTGGGTAATTCCCACAAGGCTTGAACAAGAAAAAAACAGTAGAGGGGATATTGTCCTCAGGGCCGACTTCCCTTGAGTGGTTCACAGAGCTTCAGAGATGCTATATGTGGCTGTGCTATTTTGAACTTACTCCGTTGCAAGGAAGCGCCGTGAAACCTCAAGGCTCATGATGTCGCCGACGCGAAGTGTATGTTCATCACATCCATGAGTTGATTTGTTTGTTTGGCTTTCCCTTGTTGAATTACCAGGCTTCGAAGGTATGTTTCAAGGAACAGACAAGTAGGTTCCTGCTTGGGTCGAGATAGAGTCGGCTGAGCGCGGGCCGTGCAAGAGAAATCTGAAATGGCTTTGTTTTCAATATGGACGCGTACTTTAACGCCTCCTCCTCAGGCCGCCGACTTTACAGGCCTGCTTCTTATATGCATACCTTCCCTATGCTTCCTCGACTATTTTTTTAAATAGGGATTGTTCAACCCCTATTTTTGCATTGATAACCCCTATTTTTGACATTGGCCTTTGGGGTCCATTTTTGTTACTTTGTTTTTATCGAAATCACGCCTGCTATTGCAACCTCTTAAGAAGCCTTGGGAGCCAGTATAATCTATTTATTGATAGGGTCCTCGGCGCCCTTTCGTGTTTGCGCAATGCACCTGCTGAAAGTCTTGCGTAGACGGAGCCTTCATTCTAGCAAATTCTAGAATTGTCTTCTGCAATTTGCGCAGGTGGCACGAACAACAAGCAATTGTGTGCTTGTTTTTTCCGCTCCAATTTTCACACAGCTCCAAAAACGACGTGAGTGTAGACAAACCGTAGACAAAGCGTAGAAAACCCGTAGAAACACATTTGTTTGGCGTAGAACCACTATTTTTTGGCGTAGAACCACTATTTTTTGGCGTAGAACGGGCAACATTTGCAGGGGACCCAGAAGATCAACATTCTCATCCTGGAATGGTTGCCGTGATGGGTAAAGATTTTTGCTGTCCCGGTTTGTTTGGTTTGGCTAAGAAGGTGGGGCAAAAGAAGGACAGAAACGGTCAGAAGAGGATTCACCCTCACGCGCTACATGGCCATGTTAAGAAACCAAGCAAAATAGAAGCAACTAGCCTTGAAGATTGTAACACATATTGCAGCATATGAAAATACATATTCGGCGTTGGGATCCTATGAGGCGGCCTTAGCGTCAAGTCTTTCCTAGTCCCTGTCCAAAACGGAGGCTGCCGCTCGTCATCAAAAAAATAGGCTTTATCAAAAAAACGGGGTTGTCACAACGACTATTTTTTAAATAGGCTTTGGAAGCATAGGGCCTTTGGAGTTGTCCCAGTGGAACTTTCCCTTGGGTATTTTCCCATTGGAAGTATCCCATTGGAATTCTGCCATTGGAAGTCTCTAAACATTGGAATTTGGCCCTTGGGAATCTTTCCATTGGAAGTTTTTCTTTGGATTTGTCCCCTTAATTTTTTTCCCTGCGAATTCTCCCATTGCAATTGTCTCTTTGGAATTGTCCCGTTTCTCCCATGCGAATCCGCTTTTTGGAATTGTCCAATTTCTTCAAGCAAAACCCACATTGTTGCAATCGATCAACCGGCAGACTGTTGGAAGACTATGAGCTGTCGTTTCAGACCCGGTTTTCTAGAAACGATGGGCCGTTTTCGTGAAGCCTCCGCGAGGCCTCCGCGAAGCCACAGTCATTCCCCCCCTTCCATTGTAATGAGTTGGAGGGGGGGTATATACCCCAGTGAAACTTCATGTGTTGCTGCTTCTGAAACACGGGGGGGATCTCGCGCTCAGGTTTTCGAGGGGGGTGGGGGGGGGGTTGTCTTCGTGCGAATAGGCCAGTCATTTTGGTCCAGATCATCCTAGATCTGATTGGAGAAGCCATGCCGTGGTACTTGGAGAAAACTTTTCGACAGTCCGGAGAGCCCGTTTAAAGAAGAAAAAAACCGACTCCCAAAGCTCTTGCAGCGAAGTTGTTTGCAGCAAGGCCAGAAGTGTCCTCCAAAAACTTTTCGGCTGCGTATCTCTGGGCTGACGCGTACGACCGAAGCTTCTTACCAGCATCCGGCGGGGTCCAAATCCCTTAGCGACCCAAGCTGGCACAGGCCAGATCCCTGCCCACCAGGTTTCAAGGTCACAGCCGTTGCTACCATTGAGTTTGATCATGCTTGGCTTGAAGTGGTTCTGAGGGAAGATCGGCAGCAGGGGCAGGAATTGCCGCAACCACCGTCTCGCACGTGCATTTTTGAGGAAGCTGTCACTTTTGAAACTCGTCATTGTTCTGTGCGCCTTTCCGTGGCTTCTGTTCCATGAATGGCGGCCTGCCGGGCAACCGACGCAGGTTACGCTGATGCCGGAAGGAGATGCTGAAGTTCCTTGAAAGCGTGGATTCTGCGGCGCCAGATGCCCTATCCGTGCGCAGCTATGCGCAGCTTGCAAGGGGCCTCTGCTTGAGGGCTTTGAGCGGCCACCAAAGCTGAGCGCTCGCGACACACCGGCACGGCCACGGCGCAGCCCGAAAAAGACTATGGAATCTCCGACGGTTCCTGCACCCTGCGTCATCGCCCCCTATAGGCTCAACTAAATGAGAGACTAATTGAGAGCCCAAACATCAGAGATGTTTAGCGCACTCACGTCCGCGATGCCCGGCGAAGCACCGCGAAGCCACGTCCTTCTCTGGGGCGAAGACCGCTTGGGTCCTAACAGTGTGGCCCCTTTGGATAGCGTTGGTCTTGTGAAGGGGCGGGCGGGCCCCGTAAAAAAAAGATCATTTGTTGGTTTATTTGATACCTGCTTGTTAGTTATTTTGTTTGCGTGCTTGCGTGCTTGTGTGTTTGTGTGTTTGTTTGTCTGCTTGTTTGTTTGTTTGCTTGCTTGTTTGTTTGTTTGTTTGTTTGTTTGTTTGTTTGATTTGTTCGCTCTTTTGTCTTGTTTCTATGTTTCTTTACTTTTGTCGGTCTGTCTGTCTGTCTGTCTGTCTGTCCGTCTGTCTGTCTGTCGCTCTGTCGCTCTGTCGCTCTGTCGCTCTGTCTCTCTGTTTGTCCGTCCATCCTATTTGTTTGTCTGTTTGCCTGTTTGTCTGCCTGTTTGTCTGTCTGTCTGGCTGTCCGTCCGTCCGTCCGTCGTTCTTTCATCTGTCTGTGGTTGGTTTTGCCTTGCGTTGCTTTGCTTGCTTGCTTGTTCGGTTGGAATTTTCAGGAGAGCTGCACCAGTTTCAACTACCAATTCCTTTGTCAATGTCTGGCAGCATCCACCCCAGCCAGGGTCTTTACACCCCAAACCAGTACACGCGCCCAACTCCCAAAAACGCTTCAGAAAAACCACCTTTGCATTTTGGCCGCCTTGTTTTTGCCAGTTTGCTTTACCTCTTCTCTTGCTTGCCCGTTTCCTTTGTTGGTTTTGTTTGCTCTCCCTTGGACGAGCTGTTCGTTTGCCCTCCATGGTTGTTGTGCCGCCATGGCGCAGCCCAAGGCTTGCCCTCAGCGCCTTCGCGTCCTTCGGCCCGGGCCTCCGAGCTGCACCGCGCCGCTCGCGGGCATGTCCCGCGTTTGGTTTCTGGCTCGGTGCCCGTTTTGGGGTGGCTTTTTGCACCACAAGGCACGCTAGTTGCAGGGCTCCCCATTTTGGAGAAACTCCCCATGGGTGTATCGTTTTCGTTTCCCAGCAAAAGGGAGTGCACCATTTTGAGAGTGCCGAGCCCAGTGCACGGCGGCATTTCCGAGGCGACAAAGACACTCCGCTCTTGAACGCTGCGGCGGCAGCTTGCACACGAGGCGGGGGGTGCGGGTGGGGTTTGCCATGAAAATGGCAAGGTAACTTGGGTCTCACCGCCTTTCTTCGTGCTTGCAGCCCGAAAGAGGATTGAAACAGCCACTCATCCACACGGGAATGCCCGCATTGTCTACATCCCAAGCTTCTGAGAAAGGGGTGGGTTTTGGTGAACTCCCTATGGAGCCATGGGGTTGGAAACCACATCCATAGAACCCGGAGAACTTGCGTGGAATGAGAGGGTTCTAACTTGTTCCCCGGAAAATCGATGTCATGGGCGCATTCGGAACCGGGGAAAATTAGCTACGCTCTCGCAAACCGATTTGGCTTACCAACAGTTCATGAAGGTTCCTTTGATAGCTCATGTCTCATGTTTGATTGGCGAATTGCCCTCCTGCCCTGCTCACATGGAACCCACCAGAGGGTTGCATGTCGGGTTGGGTGCTTTTAGTTCACCCACTGAAATGAGTGTAGGGACCTGCCGAAGGCAAAACAAAATTATCCCCCATATGGGCCACAATCAATTCCCGGGTGCGTGATGGTTGGTAATTAAGGGACAGTCCCACGTTACATTGGATTTGGGAAGGACTTTTTGGGTAGGCCTTTGGGTTGCCAGGTGTTGATTATGACTCAAGCATTTCAAGCTATACTATATATATATATATGTTTATATTATTTTTTCAGAAGGGTGCTTGCTGGCTTTGTGTTTTGAAGTCATTTCAATCAACCCGGCTTTCAGGTTTTACGATTGGTTTGGGCAGTCTCGTTGTCTCTGGGGGCTTAGAGCGGTCTAGCTACTAGCAACTTGACTTGCAGACGGCGTCTCAACCAGGGTGGAACATGAAGAACTTGGCTGACAAGTCCATAGGCCCAATATATGCCAGGACCCTGGAAATTTGTAGGTTTCCTGCTGGTTCGTTCCCATCCGCGGCAAGCTCCCGGCCGATAGCAAAGGCAGTTTTCCCTAAGCCAATACCCACTGAATCTAGTTGTCACATCCACTCAAAGTATGGGACCCCTCAAACATGAGTGGTTTGCCAGTGTTTCCTGTTTGCCAAGTAGCAACTTCAGAAAAGCCACCACACCCATTGGGGTTTGCAGGTTTGGGGTACGGATTAATATGATGTTGACGACCATCTTAACCGACCTCAAGTGAACAGGTGGTTTGGCCATGGCGCAGAAAGGAACAAACCCCAAGTTGATTCATAAGGGGTTCCCCTTCCACAGGAGATTTCGCCACTTTTTTGGAAGCACCTTGTCCTTCTTCCGAGGCTTTCCTTTCAACGGGAACAACAACCTCACGCGGGTTTCCTCGGGGCTTTCCAACGGCGAGCCGGGCCGAATTTCCAGGCCGTTCAGCCACTTCCTTTTGAAGGCTTTGTTGTTTGACAGGCTTGGCATACCAAGAGGAAACCAAGACTTGTTGGACATATTCATATTGCCAATAGGGTTTCAAAATGAACCTCCTGGTCCTACTATACGCTTGCTTCCGCACATATAGGTGAATCAACCACGTACCACAACCCTTGGCACTAAACCTCTTAGAGAATCTAGACAGTAGTGAGAAGGGGAACCAATGACCATGGCCCCCATAAGAAGCTCTGTACATGTCAATGACAGATGGTATGCATCAACAAATAGGAAAGGGTACCCTCAAATGAACCCACACGCACACACACACACCAATACTGTGGACAGAGAAAATCCACTTCGCACCAGTTGGGACGGATAAAGCCCAATGAATACTGGTTGATAATTACTTGCCACTGGTGTAAAGTGGATTTTGTCCATCCACAGTATGGGGGTGTGCGTTCTTTGAGAGTACTCTTTTCGCAAGGAGATTTTTTCTAAAGGGAAGCCAAGAACTCCACCACTTGGGACATTCCCTTTGACAAGCACCCAAGGTGGTCTAATAGGGAAGCCCCAAAAGTGGTTGGTGTCCTTTTGGCTTCCCTTGAAACCAACCCGCAATAATACCCTCAAACAAAGCCACTCCAATGTTTGTTTTCCAAATCGCCTACGTAATCCTATTTGTTTGAGATGATTTCCGCTACCACTGGAACTCGGGGTATATGTAGTGGCTAGTGGCTGCACAGCAGATTTTGCCCGAGGGGGGTTGGGGTGGAAGCCATCTTGGTTTGCAATTACTTAGTTTCGTAAATCACAGACACACCTATAATATGGGTGTGTCTTATTTTACGTGACCCCCACCCCTTTTTCCGGGGAAAAAAAACAACACAAATAAAAAACTCGGGTGATATCCCCAACAGCATGCGGTGCGCTTTTTAGTGCTCGCACCACCCCGCAGCCCTCGCAGAACCTCGTGGAACCCTGGGGAACCCTCGTGCTCGTGGAACCTTACCTCAGGGCTGCCCCGGACCACCCCGGACCCTATCTGGGCTGAGACCCCAAAACTTTCAGCTGTTGGGGAAGAATCACTAAGACCAACTATGTGATTGTGTTTCCTTTTGGCTTTCCTGCTTTCCTTTAAACCCAAGCCAACCCAAGCGAAAATGTGCCTTTCTGCTTTTGGCTTTTATTTGGTTTTCCTTAAAACCCAAGCAATAAGCTCAGGTGATATCCCCAACAGCATGCGGTGCTCTGTTAGCTCGCACCACCCCGCAGCCCTCGCAGAACAGCTTGGTGGAACCCTCGTGGAACTTGGAACCCTTGTGCAACCTTGCCTCAGGGCCGCCCCAGACCACCCCGGAGCCTATCTGGGCTGAGACCCCAAATGCCAAAGCTTTCAGCTGTTGGGGAAAAAGGCCAAAAGGGTTCGCTTGAACCAGAGCCACCCGTCTGTCTTTGCTGCGAAGGCCTTGCCTGGGCTTCTGCGCTGAGCTTGTTGTCGGCCGGGGGCCCGGGGGCCCCGACAGTCGCATGGGACCCGTGGGACAAATGGGATTGCTTGAAGGGCCCAAACGGGTTTCTCCCCAACAAGGACCGGTGGAAGTTGGGGCCAGAGTGCGGCTTTTAGCTTTTGGTCATTTTGCCCACGGAACTGGCCTTGGCGAAACGTGACTCTAGTTTGCAATGCCCGGCGACAGATGGGGATGTGGGGGATGTATGAAAAGTTGAGTGCTGTTTCTGCTTTGACAAACACTGCAAGAGCAAGCACTCGATGTAGCGCAGGTGCCCTGCGGGCTTACGCAAGGCGAAGTGCACCAAGCGACCGTTGAGTGAAGTGTGAGCAGGACTTTTGGTGAATGAAGGAGGTGCAAATTTTGTGGGCGGCTGGCGATCAACGGTGATTTTGCCTTTTTGTTTAGTGTCGTGGCCAGCCGTGACAGTCACTGCGCCACTGGGAAAGCTCCGGGTGAGCTTGTGCATGCGTCAGTACTGAGTGCCATCCAGGAGAGATCCCCTTCGATCTCATTTTGCAAAATGGAAGCACGTGTGAATATGCTGGCAGATGACGCCGCTTCGTATATTAAATGGGGTGTGTGACCTCGAACCTCATTTGCGCCCACCCCGCTCTTATTCCCACCTCAGCTTGAGGGCTGTCCCTCGAGTGTTGAAGTGCGGTCTATTTCTATTCTACTGCGTCCTGGGCTCCTGGTGACACGGTTGTCTCTGCGGCTACTCTCTTGCCTCCTGCCCGCCGCTGAGAGAGTTTCTTGAGCCTGACGATGAAGGTTCCTTTCATAGAGGACGCCATAGGTTGCTGAAAGGGGTCCGTTTGTTTGCCTTTTCAGCCAATTTGAACATCGGTTGGATTAGTTTCCCCGTGATGTTGATGAGGGACATATTGGGTCAGCAGGTCGAACTTTGCCCTAGTCTTGGCCAGAGTTACGAGTCCGCAGCTTCCAACCCACGACACAAGGGTTGGATTAGAGGTCGATTGACACACGAAAGCGACGACAATATTATACACATGTGTGTTTCTTATTTGCATGTACGTATGACTCAGGAGTTCAGAATGACCTTCACATGTTCCCTGCACAGTCTTGCCCAACTTGTGACATTGACATGTAAAAGTGGACAACCAGTGAGTCTTTTTTTGCAGCCGCCGCGCGTCTCCAAAAGATGAGCAACTTTCCAGTTGTTGTCGAGGGTCCTGCCAAATGCCGCCCCAACAAACACACACACACACAAAACAAATAAACAAATAAAGTATGTGTTAAAAAAAAGAGAGCTTATAGCGCCCAGTGCCAATTTGGTTGGTTGCAGTCCGTTATCTGCATTGCGAGCTTCCACTTCGAGAAAGAAAGCACAAGAGGAACTTGCTCCAAGGCACTGCCCAAGTGGAAGCTGCAAGGGGACCAGCTGTCATTGAACTCGGCCGTGGGGTGCCAAGCCTCGAATCGCCCTGACCTGACTTTCGTTCTCGTTTCTCAGGGGCTGTGTTTGTTGAGGGTCTGGGTTTCGTATCCCAGATTCCATTTGCAGCCATAGGCAACCAGCATGGTTCCTTTGAGTACCTATTTATAGGGAACTGGAAGCACTTGCTATGATGACAGATGCTATGTCAAGTCACACGCTAGCGTGTTGGGCATCGTTTCTCGCACATTTCAATTCAACTTCCAAAGCAGGGTGGGGGGAAGCATGTGTTCAAACAACCATCTCTGGTTCCCCTCAAAGGGAAACCAAAAGGATAGGGTTTGAAGAATAGCGGGTTACGCATTTGAAAGCATGATGTTTTCCATCATCTTCCCTCATTGCAGGCTGGGCTTGATCTTAATGTCAACTCAGGCTCGATCTGTCGTTGGTCGTACCAGACGGTCATGTGGGTAGTCTAAGTGTGTCGCAACCGAAACTCTCATACAATAGTTTCAACGTACCGACGGTACTCGATAACTGAGTCATCTATGCCATATAAAAGTCAACCTGATAGCTGAGAATGTTTCTCCAGCACCCCGCTCCCCACGACTGGTGTTTGGACAGATGTTGAGGTTTTGGACATAGGCGAAGTCGTTGGGTTCTGGTTCTTGTTTCAGATGCTTTGAACCAATGGGCGCGTCAATTTGAACAAACATCAGATGTGCCCAAGCGCCGCTAGAGTGGGGATCATTTTGACGAAGTGACCAAGAAGCCAAGCCGGTTTCGTGTCCGGTGAACAGCAAGGGGATTAAGCCAAGTTTGTGTAGGAAATGCTGTCCTCCAAGCCCAGCCAAAAGCCTTCGGCGGCGAAAGCGACCATGAAAAGGCGGTCGGTGTTTCCTGGCCTTGTGAAGCATTTGCACACGAGCCCAACCACCGCGTGAAGTCATGAAAGCGGAGGCACATCAGGCTGAAATGCAAGCCTGAACATGTAAACACGCAGAAACACAAGTGACACGGAAGTTGCGGATTGCCAGCAAAACAGGTTTCAATTAGCTTTGTGCCCACCATGATGCGCTCCCTGCGTGTGGTCTCTGCGCCGTGCAACCTGCGCTTGCCGCGGGCGCGCGGTACGGCTGCCTACCGGAAATTGCCCGGGCGCCCAGTATCACTTTACACTTGGGAACAACACATAAAGGCTGCGTTTAACAGGGCTCTGTGCGTTTATGGATGGGAAGGCCAGACTTTAGTGGCAAACACAGTTTGGCACACAAATTTCAGAGTGTTGACACTCAGGTTCCGCAAGATTCCAAACGTTTCCCTGGCATTTGATGGCGTCTTGAGGGCTTTTTTTCACTGAGCCAATTGAGATCCGACCTTTCTCATGGCGTCATGTTGCGCCGCAAACTCTCCGGTGCTGAGTCTCCGTTTATCAGAAAGGCTTAGACGCAAAACCACCACCCTCCCATCCACAAATCTCACAAAAGCGGGGGGGGGGGAGAGGATGCTGGTTTGGGTGCATTTGCTCCACAAAGGACCCTCTGGTGCGAGCCTGTTCTTTTCAGGTTCTTTATGTTGGAAGATGGCCATCATACAGTTTGCATCTCAGCTCTGATCAAGCACATTTTGCTGCGCTTTTATTGTGAGGCAGTTTATGCGTAATGTATCGCAATCGGGGTTGGTCGGGAGGCTGGATTCTTGCGTTTGCGTTTGTGGAGAACCCACCACAATGGGACGATGGGTGGCATCATGGGGAAATTGAGTCTCTGCAAGTAAAGTGGGTGTTTGAAGCCCCTGGCACTCGGGCAATCTGGCGCCTAATGTGTTTTTTCTCTACTTCATTTGGCTTGGCTCAGCTTACTCCTGCTTGGTTTGGGGTGGCTATCGCATGGTATCGCTAAATGTGGCTTTTGATTTGAAGAAGGGGTGTATCAAATCCCCAGTTCTTGGATTGGTCCTGGTGGTTTGCGGGTTTGAACCTTGCTTTTTGTAGAAGTAGATTGGGAAACCACCCCCACCCCCCGTACTTCCCCTACGATCTCTCACTTATTTGTCCATGTCCGTTGCGGGCAACGGTGTAGCATCATATTATATATATATATATATGTATGTACGTATTAGATATATGTATATTGTTGTGTATTCATAAGAACCATGCAAAAAGCAAATCGGCGAAAGCGGTGTGAAAGTTGACGCCACAATTCCCCCAGGTTGGTTTGTTCTCAACATAAGGCGAATTGTGCCATCTCCTTTCATCCTTGTCCGGCTTTATTCGAGGCTCCCCCGCATTGCTCCCCTGCATCCCTGCTCCGTTCCTATTGTCCAGGGCACAATAGGGCCCCCCAATCTCCCTGGCTAGCGAGGATTTTTGGGGGGCTGAAGCCAGATTAGACCGCGGTAAGTGTCAAGCTGAGTGGGTTAAGCTCGGGTGCCTTGCGGTCCCGGCTCAAAACCCATGGCTCAGGTCCCGCACCGACGGGGTGGAGGGCTTCCCCAACGTCAACGCTCGCTTCAAGCAGGAGCCATCGGAATCGGGGGCCGATCCCATCGGCGCGCGGAGAGACCCCAGAATTCGCTCCGCTTTTGGATGATTTGTGTTTTTTGGGGGTCCCCTTTGGTTTCCAGTAGCCAGGCAACCTTTCTTTGGGGGGGGTTGGGGTCCTAATTCTACGCAAGTTAAATTTCACGAAGCTGGGCCATTTAAGTCGTTTGTTCATGCATTCCTCTTCAGTTTCCCGAACATTTTGCGGCTGCGAGGTTTCCCTATCATTTCAAACGCAAAAACTTAGCAGGTCAGGATGAGTGCAGCAAGGGTCGATTTGGCGCAAGGGATCTCATTGGACGGCCATGGCATCCAAAATGGTCTCAGGGACACCGAAGTTAAACTCTCCATCAAAAGAGCGCTTCGAAGCTTAAACATCACCCAATGGGCATCATCTCTTCACATAGGAACCTCTTTTTGCATGGCGTTGACCTGGGGCACAACTGCTTTGAGGCCTGCTTAAACTCTCCACCGACCACGGTGTGTCTAAAAATAGGGGGACCCCAAAAAGGGTGCTCTCAAAAAACGCACACGTGCATGAAGGGTCGTCAAGGTCGCCCGGCAGAAGGTTGCGCTCTGGACCATTCAATATACTCGTGCGGTGTAGCAGACCGTTGGAGAAGCGGCCATAGAGGAACCACCTTCGCATATCTCTCCAAAGAGGGGCCTTTACTTGGATGGCCTTTACTTGGCAAACCCAATGCCAACCAACCAACCAACCTGCCTACGGCATAGTATGGAGTCTGTGATGGACCCTTAGATAATTTAGACAACACTGATCAGGAGTCCAGGAAAGGGAACCGACGATGACCGACGAGGAGTCTTAGCCACGGCACATATGGCTGGCGCTTTGTTGAGGGTTCCCTTCTTGGGGCTGAAACTTCTAGGGCTAGCTTCCCCATTCTTTCCAGGGATCCTTCTTTCTAGAAAACCACCAAACATCTTGCGGGAAAGGCTGGTTTTTGAAAAGAACAATGGCTGAAAATAATGGGGAATCAACCCCTAGAAAACTGGAATCCAAGCGGAAATCGTCCATTTCGTGGGGGGAGAGTGACTGCAGGAGCCCCCCAGAAGCCGAACTTTGCCCAGCGAGGAGCAGCCGGACAGGTGAGCTAGGAGGAATTTCCCTTTTTCTCATCAAGCACCTAGCGAGAAGCCCAATACCCCAAAGAAAGACACCCAAAGCCATTCCAGTTACGTGGTGTAGAACCAACAGCAAATGTATGGGTGGGGTAAAAGGGAACGTACTATGGGTTTGTTGCTGGGGATGTGGTTCCACGACCTGTGCCTGGCTTTTGGGTGGCGACTGCGCAAGGATTGTCTCACTGGACGGATTCCTTTGGCAGTGCTCCATTGATGCTGAGCAATTGCATGCTTTGTTTTGGCGGAAATGCAAAACGTAGTCACGGGTAAACATGTCCAAATACTGTACGGGCACCCCCACTGGCCCAAAACCCTTGGAACATGCACGCGCACATTGACAATCAATTGCAATGCGGATCTGCACATGTGCTTGACATGCTGTTTTTTTTTTTTTGACATAGGTCATGAGGAAGCGAGGGCACAATCCACATGCGAAGATACTCTCAGCTTTGCTGAGATGTTTCATCCTCAAACCCACTTTCTTTGCATGTTTGTTTGCTTGCTTGACTTGATTAATTGCTCCGTTCGAATTTGATTGATTTGATTGGACTTGATTTGATTTGATTGATTTGATTGATTGGATTCGATTGGATTGGATTGGTTTGATTTGCTTTGAGGTAATTTGATTGATTGATAGATAGATTGATTGATTTGATTTGATTTGATTTGATTTGATTGATTGATTGATTGATTTTATTGATTTGATTTGATTTGATTTGATTTGATTGATTGGTTGGTTGGTTGGTTGATTGATTGGTTGGTTGATTGCTTGATTGATTTATTGATTGATTTGATTGACTGACTGACTGACTGATTTATTTATTTGATTGACTGACTGCTTGCTTGCTTGCTTGCTTGCTTGCTTGCTTGCTTGCTTGCTTGCTTGCTTGCTTGCTTGCTTGCTTGCTTGCTTGCTTGCTTGCTTGCTTGCTTGCTTGCTTGCTTGCTTGCTTGCTTGCTTGCTTGCTTGCTTGCTTGCTTGCTTGCTTGCTTGCTTGCTTGCTTGCTTGCTTGCTTGCTTGCTTGCTTGCTTGCTTGCTTGCTTGCTTGCTTGCTTGCTTGCTTGCTTGCTTGCTTGCTTGCTTGCTTGTGTGTTTGTATGTTTGTTTTGTTTGTTTGTTCGTGTGTTTGTCTGTTTGTCTCTTTGTCTCTTTGTCTGCCTGTCTGCCTGTCTGTTTGTCTGTCTGTTTGTCTGTCTGTCTGCCTGCCTGTCTGTTTGTATGTTTGTTTGTCTCTTTGTCTGTCTGTCTGTCTGTCTGTCTGCTTGCTTGCTTGCTTGCTTGCTTGCGTGCGTGCGTGCTTGCGTGCTTGCTTGCTTGCTTGCTTGCTTGCTTGCTTG